CAAATATCAGTTATTACTAGCAAATCAGTAATTATCAGCAAATATCAGTAATTACTAGCAAATATCAGTAATTACCAGTAAATATCAGTAATTACCAGTAATTACCAGCAAATATCAGTAATTACTAGCAAATATCAGTAATGACTAGCAAATATTAGTAATTACCAGCAAATATCAGTAATTACCAGTAAATATTAGTAATTACCAGCAAATATCAGTAATTACCAGTAAATATCAGTAATTACCAGTAATTACCAGCAAATATCAGTAATTACTAGCAAATATCAGTAATTACCAGCAAATATCAGTAATTACCAGTAAATATCAGTAATTACTAGCAAATATCAGTAATTACTAGCAAATATCAGTAATTACCAGTAAATATTAGTAATTACCAGTAATTACCAGCAAATATCAGTAATTACCAGCAAATATCAGTAATTACTAGCAAATATCAGTAATTACCAGTAAATATTAGTAATTACCAGTAATTACCAGCAAATATCAGTAATTACTAGCAAATATCAGTAATTACCAGCAAATATCAGTAATTACCAGTAAATATCAGTAATTACTAGCAATATCAGTAATACAGCAAATATCAGTAATTACCAGTAAATATCAGTAATTACCAGTAATTACCAGCAAATATCAGTAATTACTAACAAATATCAGTAATTACTAGCAAATATCAGTAATTACCAGCAAATATCAGTAATTACTAGCAAATATCAGTAATTACCAGCAAATTTCAGTAATTACTGGCAAATATCAGTAATTACTAGCAAATATCAGTAATTACCAGTAAATATCAGTAATTACCAGTAATTACCAGCAAATATCAGTAATTACTAACAAATATCAGTAATTACTAGCAAATATCAGTAATTACCAGTAATTACCAGCAAATATCAGTAATTACCAGTAAATATCAGTAATTACTAGCAAATATCAGTAATTACTAGCAAATATCAGTAATTACCAGCAAATATCAGTAATTACTAGCAAATATCAGTAATTACCAGTAAATATTAGTAATTACCAGTAATTACCAGCAAATATCAGTAATTACTAGCAAATATCAGTAATTACCAGCAAATATCAGTAATTACCAGTAAATATCAGTAATTACTAGCAAATATCAGTAATTACCAGCAAATATCAGTAATTACCAGGAAATATCAGTAATTACCGATATCCATTCGTTTTCTAACACCCTGGTGGGGTCAGGAGGAGAGGCGGGGGTCACCTGGACGGGTCCTCAGTCTGTCACAATAAATACCAATAATTATCAGTAAATATCTGTATTATCAGTAAATGCTGTTTGTCTGCTGGGTTTTCTTACATAAAAACTTATTAAACTAATTTGAATAATTAATTGAGCATGCTGCACTGGCTGACAACCAAATCGATTTTCTGTGCTGCAGAAAGACATTTTTCTCATGAACATGGTGCCTGTGAGCTCTGACCTCTGACCTCTGCCTCGTCCTTCCTGTCCCTGCAGACCGTCTTCCATGACGAGTGTAAGTTCAGGGAGAGTCTTCTGGCCAACAACTACAACGCCTACGAGTCTGCGGCGCACCGCGGCTGCTTCATAGCGCTGAGCAAACATGGCCGCGTCAAGAGGGGCAACAGGGCCTCCACCGCCATGACAGTCACCCACTTCTTACCCCGGATATGAGGCAGGACACAGAGAGGGTAGAAAGTGGCAATAATAAACCCATTGCACATGTGCATTATTATGATCCCAGGTGAGAAACATCTGGACAGGCCTGAAAACCTGGACCGGACTGCAGCCATCATCATGAGGAAGAGGAGGAAGAGGACTTCCTCGTGGGGGCCGGGGGTTACTTTAGGCTGCCCCCCCCCCCTCACCCCCTCACCCCCTCACCCCCACATACCAGAAATGCTGATCTGGAGTCAGGAATAGCAGCGACCCCGGCGTCATGCCGCCCTGAGCCAGAGCCCAATTCCTGGAGGGTCTGACGTTCCTGAGGATCCACACCGGGAGGAAGCCCCCATACCCCACCTACAGCCCCCCCACACCCCGCCCCGCCCTGGTGTGACTGGGCTTTTATTTTGAAGTGCTCTGGTTACTGACAGCAGATTATTGAGGTTCTTAATATTCATCCTGATTTATTTATTATTATTATTGATGATGATGTTGTTGTTAATATGTGGCAGCAGGAAATGAATCCCAGAATATTAATCCTGGATTATTAATCCTGGATTAATATTTGAGGTTTCCAGCTCAATCTGCTGGTTTGTTTAACGTTCACATTTTTTCATGCAGCATAATTTACTTGAATTCAGAGCAGAAGGAGCCCAGCAGGGGGCGCTCTGTGTTTGCCCCCTCCTGCCACCTGTCCACCTCACCGTGACCTTTGACCCCCCCCCAGTTCTGCACCTGTTTCTGCTGGTGCTTGGAAAAACACCAGTTCACGTTTCTCCTGATCCATCAGGAAACTCCAGAGTTCTGGTTCCGACCCCGATCGCTCAGTTTGCTGATTTCAACCATGTGAAGCATTTGATGGAGGGTTGGAAACTTTCCCACAGCATTCTGGCTGATTTACAGGAAGTGATGTCACAAAGGGGTTTGGTAGCAGAGGAGTTCAGACCCGGTTCTGGTTCTGTGGGAGAGCAGATGAGGTCGGTTTGTTGTAGCAGTCGATCCGGCTCTTCCAGCCAGTTGATGATGAGGACAGAGACTCCAGGTCGTCATGGAGACGATCCTGAATGACCTTTGATGACCTTTCGGCCTGTAGCTTTTTAAACTTTATTTTCAAATGAAGGTGCAGCACATTTCTATTGATTCTTCTTGTTTTCACTGACTGCAGGTTTCTGTACAGGAGCTGAGGTGGTCGTTCTTCCCCTAACTTTCTCTGAACAGCAGCTTCTGTCGGTTTGTTTCAGAGTGAAAGTCTGGAGAACGCTGATGAGAAACAGAAAAAAAATCTTTAACCTCCAGATGCAAGTACAGATTTGAGTGACCTGGTGTCTGCTTTAAAGGACTGGAGGGTGCTAGAGGTCATCTGGAGGTCAGCTAGAGGTCATCTGGAGGTCAGCTAGAGGTCATCTGGAGGTCAGCTAGAGGTCATCTGGAGGTCAGAGCTGTGTAGCTGGTTTGTTTCAGTTTCTCGCGCTCCTGCGCTGTTTTTAATACCTCACCTTCTGCCTTAGTTCCGATTGTTGAAATGATTGTAAATGAGTTTGAAAGCAGATTTCTCCAGTCGTTTGTTTCTGAAATATCAGTGAGACAAATACTATATAACAAATAGTTTTCCTTTTATTTTTGTACGTCTGTGCTGTGCACAGCAGTCACTTGTATTCCTGAGATGAAAATAAAAATTATTTTGTAAAATCTTTTCCACTGAATTTCTTCCAGGTTTCGTTTCGGTTCATTTTTGGATCTCAGGAGAAACTCAAGGTGAGCGTGGAGCGCCCCCTACTGGTCAGAGGATGGAAGCTCATCGTTCAGCTTACAGTAAAAATGTAAACAACTTTTCATGATCATTCTCAGCTCTCTGATTGGATGTCAGAAGTTGACAGCTGAGTGGTTTGTGCTCCGTTTGTGCAACTATTCAAAGTTATAACTTTGGTTTGTCTAGGATCAAGATGGGGAATGGTGACGTCATCTGCCAAAGTGTTGCTGCGACAGTGCTGCATCAGTGCTGCGTCAGTGCTGCGTTAGTGCTGCGTCAGTGCTGCGTCAGTGCTGCATTAGTGCTGCGTCAGTGCTGCATCAGTACTGCGTCAGTGCTGCGTTAGTGCTGCGTCAGTGCTGCGTTAGTGCTGCGTCAGTGCTGCGTCAGTGCTGCATTAGTGCTGCGTCAGTGCTGCGTTAGTGCTGCGTCAGTGCTGCGTCAGTGCTGCATTAGTGCTGCGTCAGTGCTGCATCAGTACTGCGTCAGTGCTGCGTTAGTGCTGCGTCAGTGCTGCGTTAGTGCTGCGTCAGTGCTGCGTTAGTGCTGCATCAGTGCTGCGTCAGTGCTGCGTCAGTGCTGCATCAGTGCTGCGTTAGTGCTGCGTCAGTGCTGCGTCAGTGCTGCATTAGTGCTGCGTCAGTGCTGCGTTAGTGCTGCGTCAGTGCTGCGTCAGTGCTGCATTAGTGCTGCGTCAGTGCTGCATCAGTACTGCGTCAGTGCTGCGTTAGTGCTGCGTCAGTGCTGCGTCAGTGCTGCGTCAGTGCTGCGTTAGTGCTGCGTCAGTGCTGCGTTAGTGCTGCATCAGTGCTGCGTCAGTGCTGCGTCAGTGCTGCGTCAGTGCTGCGTTAGTGCTGCGTCAGTGCTGCATTAGTGCTGCGTCAGTGCTGCGTCAGTGCTGCGTCAGTGCTGCGTTAGTGCTGCGTCAGTGCTGCGTCAGTGCTGCGTTAGTGCTGCGTCAGTGCTGCGTCAGTGCTGCGTCAGTGCTGCGTTAGTGCTGCGTCAGTGCTGCATCAGTGCTGCGTTGTGCCGCACTGAAGTTGTTTTCCAGTCGGACGTTGGATATTCCGATATCCGCGGCGTTGGTCCGATTTATGGAGGCTGATGTCGGCCAGCTGATCTCCAGCTCCATCCTCAACGCTGCAGCTTCACTGAAGGGCCGTCAACAAATTTCACAACCAAGCACTAAGAAACAAATGGAAAGAGATTTCTTGCCTTGTGACGGACTGACACAAACTTCCTGCTGTTACACGAGACGCACTGTTCTCTAGCGAGCTTTTAATCATACTCAATATTTTCAATCATTTTAATAGTAAAAAGTAACCCAGGCTCTCCGTCTGCAGCTGCTGGGGGAGCCTGTGGATCTGCTGTGAAGGTTGCAGAGGAATCGGGGCTCTTCACAGAGCGATTATTTCACCTTGCAGGCAGTAAACTCAGGATCCAACCGTTTTCTTTTTACAAAACAATCAAACATCACCAGTGCAAAAACGTAGTTTGTACTTAACTGAACCTGAACAAACAGAAATAGTTTGTTCTGTTTGTTCATCTGGTACCTGCAGGGCAGGAAATTGAAAAAAAGTTAACTTTAAAATGAACTTTAAGTTGATATAAATACATATGTTAATTAAATGTGCGTGATAACAAATAGAACAAATGTCAACAATCAACTAATAAGTGTTTTATTGAAACTAAAGTGTTAAGGTTGTCTCTATGAAAAACTGCATTGTGCATAAAAAGAGTAATTGACTGTCGACAGTGAAACCATTACATAGAAATATCAGTCTTTGCCACTTTGTGTTGCATAATCTAAATCAGTGTCAGGGAATAATTCAAACTTTTTCAGATTTCCTAAATCTCAGTTGGCCTTCATAGCTGAACCCGGTGTTACACCAACACTCTCTAAAACTAGCTGCTATTTACTGGTGGACACAAATACAGTTTAGTGATATTATTTTCACAAAATATAAACAGCAATATGTCCATTTCAGCTGTGAAACGTTATCCCTTGAGATCTCGCGGCATTAGGAGGGACGGCCGCTCCAACAGACGAACCAGAACCGGAACTGGTATCGGAACCGCCTGGCTGACCCGACCCTGCCTGATGGAATGTGACCAATGCTGTTTCAATAATCTGGGTTCATTTGCTCATCATAACATGAAGTTAGAAAACTAAATATTTATCCTGCTGGCTCATTTGTCTCCTGGTTCAGATGATGGTTTGGATTTTATTTAGAGGTGTCAGACTGAAAATTGAAAATGGTATTTATGTGTTCCAGATGAAATAAACTAAACTAAAGAGGAAAAGTGTTGAGAGGTGTGAATATTCCTGCCAGGTTTTGTATTTGATCCTTTTGGAAACATAATTCACAGGGGATTAAATTTTGCTCAGGATCATTTTGTTTTATAGCTGAGGTCAGCAGGTCACCGAAAGACAAAATGAGTTACAGCTCATCCTTCGTTGTGCAACGGCGTGGGAGCAGCGGAAGTGTGTCCAGTTAATTCATAAGCAGGGGATGAATCATTGATGCTGTGACTCAGCATGGGGCGATGGTTCTGGTTCTGACCCGGCTCCTTCCAGAGAAACATTAATATAGACTAGAACCTCTTACATTCATTTCAGGCACTAATGAATTAATCTCATTTCATGCAAAAAAGTCCTAAAAAAACAAATAAATGCTATAAAATGTTTATTTTTCAATTAATAAATGCAGATATACTGGCAGCAGGAGGGGGCAGCTGCAGCACCAGGTGGCAGCTGCAGCACCTGGAGGCAGCTGCAGCACCAGGAGGCAGCTGCAGCAGCAGGGTCAGCCGCAGCAGCAGCAGGGGCAGCTGCAGCAGGGGCAGCGAGGCTCTGAGGTATTTTGGTAAATGAGTTAGCCGGTTTATTGACCCTCTGTTTAAATAAGCCTGTTGGACTTTCTCCTCCACCAGAAGCTGCTCTCTCACATCCCGAACATTTGAGCTTTTGGAGAGGAACCATGCAGCTGGCTTCCCTCGCGCTCTTCCTGATTGTGTTGCATGTTTGCGGCCGAGCGGAGAGCAGAGCGAGGCTGCGGCGGCCGCAGGCGGGCGGCGCGGAGGCCGCGGCTCCCGCCGGTCCGGGTCGCCTCCGCCTGGATCTGAGAACAAACGCTCCTCACCTGGGTGAGTCTGCTCCTGACTCCATGATCCTCCTCATCACTGCCAGGATCTCCAACAGATCCAAACTGAGGCATCTTCAGGATTCACAACGTTTTCCTCCACAAAATGTTCAGTTTTCTTGCTATATGTTTGGAAAACAAACATATTTTTTACAATGTCAGACAAACCTTAATCTTTCTGAAGGGATTTCAGAGTCTGTTGGATTTTCATGACTTCTAAACTAACAATATTTCTGGTAATTGTTATTTTTCTGAATTATTTGATGTTATTGAATCATTTCTCAGTCGTTCTGCCGGGAGCTGCAGCACCCGGCAGCTGGGTGCTGATCTTTGACTTGAGACAGAGACGCTTCCTCTGTGTGGACATAAAGGGACAACTCTTCAAGTCTGTGAGTGTCTTCCAGATCCACCTTAACAGATCCACCTTAACAGAGCAGATCCCAGTAAACATGTCTGTTTGTCTCCATGACAGAGACAGAAGGACAGAGGACACTGCCTCTTCCAACATATTTGGTTCAGGCCGGGTGAGCGCCATGATCTGTTTTCCTCTGTGAGCAGGAGCTGGTTGGTCAAACTGGGGGTTGGCAGGCCAGGAGCGGTCCGCGGTGGGCCACCAGACGGCCAGTTAGTGAAGAGGCAGAGGAGGAGCGAGGAGGTGAACCCGTCCGATCCTCTGAGGACAGAGTCCCATCCGTCTCCTCCGGTGAAGGATGTGGAGCCGAACCAGGCGGGGGCCGTTTCCAAGGAAACCATCACTTCCTGTGACGACCCGCTGCGGGTGCTGAGGCCTAACGGACACGGCAGTCCAGTCAAGACGAACATCGCAGAGCGAGCAGAGCAGGAGTGACGTCAGGTTCTCAGGAAGCAACAGGAAGAAAGTCTGACGCCGCAGAGCAACAGGCAACACGCAGAGACCAAGTGGGACCGGCTTCCTGTCCGCGGCTTCCTGCCCTCGGCTTCCTGCCCGCGGCTTCCTGCCCTCGGCTTCCTGCCCGCGGCTTCCTGCCCGCGGCTTCCTGCCCGCGGCTTCCTGCCCGCGGCTTCCTGCCCGCGGCTTCCTGCCCTCGGCTTCCTGCCCGCGGCTTCCTGCCCTCGGCTTCCTGCCCGCGGCTTCCTGCCCGCGGCTTCCTGCCCGCGCTTCCTGCCCGCGGCTTCCTGCCCGCGGCTTCCTGCCCGCGGCGCCGGCCCACTGCGCTCCGATCAGACACTATCTGAGGTTTCATCTGATCACTGCGGCTTCAGCGCCTCTGTTTGAACAGCAAATGAGGGAGAAGCTGCGCCTGCTGACCTTTAACCTCTTTTGTCTGTTAAATTTTAATCTTTGGGCCAGATGATGCAACCCTTTCTTCACATATGTTCAGAAACTTTCTTTCAAAAATATTCTCACTAAAAAAGAGACATGAATGATAGAACAGGAAAGAGAAATGATCCGGTGCTGGACACCAAGTCTCAGCAATGAAGATATTTATTTATTGAGATCTGTAACATAACTTCTTTTATTGTGTACTGTTTTTTATTTATATATTTCTGATAGAAAATAAAAAGTAGAAAAAAATGCATGAAACCAAAAACGTTCTTTAGCTTCTTCAATCTGACCAGGATCGCTGCGGGAGTTTCACCTTTTCCACGCCTCCAGACTCCGTCCACAACTGCAAATATTTTAGTTGCGTTGCTCCTGAAAAGTTGCAGATAGTGCAGTTTACTGAATGTATTCAACCCCTTGAATGTTTTACCCTTTTATTGCTTTTACAAATCAATCATAATCAACTCATTTAAGCTTTTGTGACAAAAAATGTTCACAAAAAAATTCTTTAACGTGAACAGATGTTCCTTTCCAGTCCTTTATGGTCTATTTAAAGCTGACTTCCTGGTTCTTATAGGTCCTCAGATTCCTCGTTGACCTCTGACCCCAGGTTCATCTGAGAGCAGCTCGTTTTGGTGCCTCTCTTTAAATCCAAATGAGGTCGTTCAGACCCCGCCCCCTGCTGTTCGGCCATTGTTGTAGTTTGATAGCAGAGATGTGATCACCTGACGGTGCAGAAACGTTTGTGACCAGCAGGAGACTCGTCCATCCAGCCTGACATGTCAACGCCAACGAACACGCCTGGAAACCTCAGCATGGTTAGCAGGCTAGCTAACGCTAGCGCCAAGAAGTTCTGAATTCATCTGGATCATGTGTTCCCCAGCACCAAAACTATCCCAGCTGTTTAGCTAAGAACTTTTCAAATCTCGGCGTGAGGTTCTGTTCTCTAGCTAACAGCTAGCACACAGTGCTAACATTAGCAGGAGGCTAAAAACAAGGTTATCAACAGAACTAATGCATGTCTGTGGTAGTTTGTTGCCATGTCAGCGTTAGTAGCAGCTTAGCATTTCGCTGTGATGGTCGCACAGACAGGAGGAACCAAGTCTTGATGCTAACGGAGGTCTCTGAAGCTTTGGTCCTTGAGGAGCTTCATGCTAAGAAAGTTTGATGTGGAAATATTTCCCATGCAAACAAATGTAACCAGACTGTGATGAGCTGTGTGTGTTAACACACCCAGCAACACTCAGTCTGACTGCAGCATCAGCCTTCAATATCACTGTGAGAAATAAAAATGGTGGATTCCTGAACCTGATTAGCTGAAGGTCCATGACCTTGTTTAGTTCTACAGCAAATACTGTGATGTAATAGTTAAAAAAAGTTACAGGTGATGGAGAAAAGTGAACAAACCAAAGATAAATACTCTGTGCTGCACAGAGAGAAACCTTTCTGCTGTGCTAGAGACTCCCAGGCTGAGTGGGTCACTGGGAGGTCACCAGTTAGCTGGACCTCTGATGAATGAGGTCAGCCACCAACAGTTGACCAAATCACTGATTTCATTTGAAATATTTTACTTGTAATTTTGTGAAAATCGGTTTTCACTTTGGAAAACAATGTAAATTCAACCTTTTAGTGTCAAAGGAAGGAGAAAAAAACAAATCCTGCTGTTCATGATTGATCTGTAAAAGTACTGGAGGAAGTGAATAAGTTTTATACTGAAAACTGGGAAAATCAAACCTGTGATGTTATTTGGTAAAAATAGATTCAAGCAAACAACATCTACTCTCCACAGATCTGGACCAGATCTGTTCACAAACCCTAAACCAGCTCCGACAACTTCATTTCCAGCACTTGATAGCTTTTGATGTTTCTTTGTATGGGATGATTAATATTTTACTGTATTCATCGTCTTTATTAAATTTTTCTGAACGTTTTCCACCTCATCTGTAATGATGCATTTCAGGGTAATTAAACACTCAGCTTGTTATGTAACTGGCATGAGACCAACTGGGTCAAATTGGGTCCAAATGAAGCACAAACATCTCCACAGACATAAAGTATCACTTTAAATATCCATTTTTAATAGTTTTAGCGTTTATAAAAAAAATAAAGCTAAGGTTCAACACACAGAAACAAGATCAACACGCACACACACACACACACACACACACACACACACACACACACACACACACACACACACACACACACACACAGTTTAACTGCTGAATGAGACGTTGAGTCACTGATTCCTAAAAAGAGCAAAAACTTTCCACTTTATTAATATGGAAAGAAAAGTTGTTTATGCTCCACAGTTACAGTAAGTCACACAGTGATGATGATGGTGGCGATGATGATAATGATGATAATAGTGATAGTGATGATGATGATAGTGAAGGTGAAGATGATGATGACGATAGTGAAGATAATGATGATGATAGTGTTGTTGATGATGATAGTGATAATGATGATGATAATGATGATGATAGTGTTGATGATGATGATGATAGTGTTGTTGATGATGATAGTGATAATGATGATGATAATGATGATGATAGTGTTGATGATGATAGTGATAATGATGAAGATAATGATGATAATGATGATGATAGTGTTGATGATGATGATAGTGATAATGATGAAGATAATGATGATAGTGTTGATGATGATGATAGTGATAATGATGATTATAATGATGATAATGATGATGATAGTGTTGATGATGATGATAGTGATAATGATAAGATAATGATGATAGTGTTGATGATGATGATGATAGTGATAATGATGATGATAATGATGATGATAGTGTTGATGATGATAGTGATAATGATGAAGATAATGATGATAGTGTTGATGATGATGATAGTGATAATGATGAAGATAATGATGATAATGATGATGATAGTGTTGATGATGATGATAGTGATAATGATGAAGATAATGATGATAGTGTTGATGATGATGATAGTGATAATGATGATTATAATGATGATAATGATGATGATAGTGTTGATGATGATGATAGTGATAATGATGAAGATAATGATGATAGTGTTGATGATGATGATAGTGATAATGATGATGATAATGATGATGATAGTGTTGATGATGATGATAGTGATAATGATGAAGATAATGATGATAGTGTTGATGATGATGATAGTGATAATGATGATTATAATGATGATAATGATGATGATAGTGTTGATGATGATAGTGATAATGATGAAGATAATGATGATAGTGTTGATGATGATGATGATGGTGATAATGATGATGATAATGATGATGATAGTGTTGATGATGATGATGATAGTGATAATGATGAAGATAATGATGATAGTGTTGATGATGATAATGACGATAGTGATGATAATGATGATGATGATGGTGATGAAGCTCTTCTGCATCACAAACTGTGGAACCTAAAAACTAAAGTTTCTGCTCTGTGACATGAAGTTTCTGTCTGGGTTTGGTTTTGTTTCTCATTGTGTTTTAGTTTCTGTAGCTTCGCCCTTTGTGGTCATTTCAGTTTGATTATTTGATGTTATTTAGGGTGGTTGGAATTTCCTTGTCCTTGTCTGCAGCCCTTCATAGAGTTTCTTCTTAGGGGAAACTAACAGAAACAGTTAGTTTCTGTTTTTCTAGTCTGAGTCCATGTCGAGCTTCTTTATTTTTATTTAATCCTTCTAGTTCCCCTCATAGTGTTTCCATTATTTGTCACTTTAGGTTTATTTTGTCTTTCTTTAGTAATTCTCCTTAGGTTATCTCTTTGTTCAGATCTTCTCGTTTCCATAACTCTACATCTTGTAGATCTTATTATTGACAGTCCAGCCTTCTGTCTGGTTATGTCTCTTTGAGTTTACCAGGTTTTCTGTAGTATTAGTGTTTTTCTTTGGTTTTAAATGTATTTTCAGCTCCCTGCTGTTTTTCCCCATACATCTCGTCAGCCAGTTATCTCATCTCGTTGGGCCCATTGTTCCGTTTACTGCCTCCCAGTATTTAAGCTCCTGTATCCCAGTCACAACTCGCCGGTCCGTCTCGTCACCTGATCGTCTCCACCATGTTCCCTCCCTGGATCAGCTGCTGTTCCCTCGTGTTCCCACTTTCTTTTGTTTGGGGATTTTGGATTTTTTGTTGGTTGATTTTCTTCATTCAAACATGCTCTTGTTTCTCCGTTTACTGTCTGCTGCGTTTGGGTCCACCGCCACAGCATGACAGTTTCATTTGTTTCATTCTGAAATATGATATGAAACTCCATAAAAACAGACTTTATTAATTTTATTGACTGTTTCCACTCATTAAAGAAACTCAACTTGATATTATGAAGCTTTTCATTAATTCTTCTTATAATATTATCATTACTATGATCATTCTTACATGTGACAAAGATTTTAGTATCATTTATAATGTTTTGTTTTTTTCATTTTTGTTTACAAAATAAACTTATTTACTAATTAAAAGCTAAAAACAGCAGGAGAAATAGTTTTGAAGCACTGAAAATATGAACCAAAACTATTTTACGTCACAGTTTGTCTGGATTTATGAAGCATGCTAATGAAATACATGATTCAGTCAATTTATTTTCACCCTTGATTATAAATAATGATCAAATATTAATATTTGTGTTTCATGTCTTTTTTGAGTTTATGATAAAACTAAACATTGTGCCATCATCATCTTTGCGGACAATGATTGTTTCCTTCTCTAAAATAAATGTATCAATAAATCATGAGCAGGTTATTCATCCTGCTCTGCCCCTGCCACCCTGTGCATGAACACGCAGCGCATGTCCGACACCACAAAGCGCGCCCCCTGCTGGACCACCGTCAGGTTGAACCTGCAGATCCCCGCGTTGGGGCTCAGCGAGAACATGCGCTTCCTGTCGCAGCCTGCAGGGGCGCTGCACCGCAGCTCCTCCACGAAGTAACGCACCGCCACGCACATGAAGGCGCCATGGGAGACAACCAGAGCGTGGGCGTGGTGGGCCCCTGTGTCGTCAGCAGAGGATACATCAGCGCCCCCTGCAGGCCAGTGCTCTGCCCCGATCTGCTGCAGCATTTTCTCCATGAACTGCTGGACCCCAGCTTCACCTGGAGGAGCCAAAATCTGGATTATTCATCCTGTCATCAGAGCAAAATGAGGCATTTTTCACTCACATTTTCACCCCGTCATTCATTCATTGATAAATTTATTTACTTAGCAAGCTAAAGAGTTACCTTCAAACTAAATATTTAGTGAAAATGCTAATAGTCTCAAGCTAAATATTTAGCTTGCCAACTAAATATTAATGGAGATAATTATTTGCTAGCAAACTAAGTATTTAGTTTGAAACTGTGACATTTATATAGGAATGAATAACAGGGTGAAAATATGATATTGTAAGAATCCCCACATTTTTCTCTTAAAGCACCGAAATTATTGATATTAACTTTAGATGTATAACTTCAGAAATGATGAAGACCAATAGCCATCATCATCATCATCATCATCATCATCATCATCATCATCATCATAACGTGGTGGAAAGGATCTGGAAAATTAGTTGGAAATGACACACACACATCCACCCACACCCACACACACCTACACACACATCCACACACACCTACACACACACACACACATCCACACACACACCCACACCTACACACACACACACACACACACACACCCACCTACACACACACACACACACACGCACGCACACACACATACACACACACATACACACACACACACACACACGCACACACACACACACACACACACACGCACGCACACACACACACACACACACACACACACACACACACACACACACACCGCACACACATCCACACACACACACACACACACACACACACACACACACACACAACACACACACACACACACACACACACACACACACACACCGCCTTAACCAGAGCTAACAGCGACTGTTTATTGGGGTCCGTTACGTCACAACCCCGCCCCCCACTGTAAAAACGTGTGGGAGTCTGCTGCCACCTAGTGGTCAGTCGGTGAATGACTAACAGCTTCCTGACCTGATGTGCAGTCTCACCCTCTGGAGGGGTGAAATCCTGGACCGGTTCCCCCGCCGCCCTGGCCATCGCTCTGAGGTCCTCAACCGGTCCGCCTTCTGCGACCCCAAAGCTCTGGGAAGAACGAGGCATTCACACAAAAACAGCTTTAGCATTCTTCTATTAAAACTTTTATCTGGAGAAACGACTTACATCAGAAATCACCTACTTTCTCTTTTAGCAAAGGGTCACACACCATCTGGAGCCGCAGACAGCTGCTGTTCTGCTGCATGATCTCCTCAGCAGTCTGCAGGTCAAACCACAGCAGACAAGAATAACAATCCTGATGATGATGATGATGATGATGATGATATGATGATGATGATGATGTCGAAGCTCCTGAAACATCAGCGCCCTTTACTGGAGCAGAAACATGTTGAGGTTTGAAGGTTGGTCTCCTCTGACCGGTGAGCCTTCAACATGTCCGCTGTGATTCCCTCGTGGCTCAGAACTCTGCTACTGCTTTGGTGACTTCATTTCATTTACAAGTATCAGGAGTTTTATGCTAAATATTTCAAGTGAGAATCTCTGAAAACCCTCGTGAGTTTTATGACCAAAGGTTTGGGGGTATGAATACTTCTGGAACGATACTCAGAACTTCACTGTAAACAGGCCTCTGGCCACCAGGAGGCAGCAGATCTCAAACTAATCAACAGGCTGCCTGTTGAACCCAGCAGAAGAAGAAGCCTACCAACGTTTGTGGGATGGAAACAAAATGGCGGCAGTGGGAAGGAAACAGTCTGATGAAGAATTAAGGCAAGACAGATATTTTCTTTTTTAAATACAATAATTAAGTAGAAGAAAGATAAAACATCCATCCATAACAAAAGGAAGTTGTAAAATTACAAGGAAAAACTAGAAAAGTTCTGAAGAAATTTAAATGGGGCCTGCCAAAGTGTGCCTGTCGTTTAGCATCAATGCTAAGCTTAGCAAAAGTATAGTCAATAGCATGTGGAGAATCAAAACCATGTTGACTAACAAGGTTTCAGTATGTGTCTAAAGTTAGTGTATAGGCTAATTGAGCTAAATAAGCCATAATGCTAATTTTAGCCTAAATGCTGTCACTAGCATATTGTCTTACATTGACTTGCTACATTCAGTGTCCTAAACATGGCTAACAGGTAAGAAAAATAGCTAAAAGATGTTTTTAGGTCAATTTTAAATGGCCACACATCCGATGTGCAACAGTGGTTGGTTAAAATCAGTAATAGTCACTAGTCACTGACCTTTCGGCCATGTTGTAGTTCTTCTCATTGCTGCTCATTGTAAAGAGCAGCTCAACTGTCATGTCAGTGAGACACAGGGAGACAGAATTCAAACTGTCTCGTTAGGGAACCGTGATACGCATCAGAAAACCGTTTGCAGCGTATGACAGGGCGATTTGTTGTCTCCGATACGAACGCAATTCATATCTGTAGTTCACTCAGTAATAACAGCGAAGACAGAGAGATGCTGTGCGCTGAGCTCTGAAATTGTTCAGAAAAGTATGAAAATAAATGGCTGAGCGTGTCATTGACACATGATTTGGCTCTGAAGCACCTGGACAGAAAACTATCAGCCTAGAAAAATTTCAGAAACATTTTCAGAAGCAGGCATTCAGTGTGATGTCACGACTGACTTTCATACCAATACAGTGATACTTGTTGGCGTGAGGCGATTTCAAAATGATTGGCAGTCAGAGCGTTCGATGGTCCAAACCAGGCGGAGATGCTGCTGGTCGGTTTGATCTCTGGAGGAAGAACAAACTGCAGAATGTTTACAGTTGCTGAGCTTTTTTCACCAGACCAGAGATTTGGAGGAACCAGGTCAAAGTGCCAGTAATTTGCTTCCCCATGAATTTAATGTTCTTATCATGTAGTGAAATTTATCCTGGTAATAATGAAAAAACTCTTGTTTGGCCCAGATTGTGGTCAAATGACTGGCAGTATAAAAGGAACAAAACTACAACAAAGTCTGTGTAACCATCTGGTTTATCATGAATGAAAACCTTTGAGTTT